CTACAGAGAATTGATTGGACGTTTGTTATATCTGTGTATTACTTGACCAGACTTTTGCGGTAAATCGTCTCAGCCAGTTTCTTTTGTGCCCAACTGATGTTCACCTTCAGGCTGCTCATAACATTCTGAGATATTTGAAGAACAGTCCAGGTCAAGGTTTGTTTTACTCTGCTTCTGGTGATATACGGCTTAATGGTTTTGCTGATGCTGACTGGACTACTTTCCCTGATACTCGATGATCTGTCACCTGGAATGTGTGTGTTTCTTGGTGATTCTATCATTACCTGGAAATCCAAGAAGCAAGAGACAGTGTCGAGAAGTAGTATAGAGGCTGAATATAGAAGTATGGCTGTGGCTACGGGAGAACTTCTTTGGTTACACCAACTGCTTGTTGATCTTCATGTTTCAGTCTCTACACAAGCTAGATTCTTTTGTGACAGCAAATCTGCGATGAACATCGCTAACAACCTGGTCTTTCACGAGCGCACCAAACATGTGGAGATAGACTGTCACACGACTCGAGATCAGGTGAAGAATGGCTTCTTGAAGATTCATCACGTCTCTTCTTTGAATCAGCTTGCTGACATTCTCACCAAACCTCTCCATGCGGATCCTTTTAGCTCTATACTCAATCGATTATCGGTTTCAAACCTCTTTTATCCTTTGGAGAAATCGGTTTGAGGGGGGCATATTAACATATATATCCCCTATAGTTAGCTTGTATATAAAAAGGGGATTTGTGACTTAATGTAAACACACTCTTCATTAATGCAAATTACTTTCTCTCTCATCTGTTAATAAATCCCAAAACAGTGAGTGTTTTGCTTCGTCCTCTCTCAGCTTTCATGTTTGCTATTATTTAAAGTATTAGTAATTTTATCCGCTCATCTACGATTGTTTCCCAGTTAGAGAAGCGTATTCAAAATTCAAGGAGTTAGGAAAAATCCTTGGTTCAGATTAAGCAAGGGTAGAGGAAGAGTGAATTTGAATGATGTTCATGCCGTTTTTGATGGAATTGAGGTTGGTCGTTCGTCTTCATTGCATCATGCTCTCTGTTGGTCAACTCCGTTCAACTGTTAACATTTCTTAGGAAGTTTTTGATGACTAGGAAGAAGTGCTTTGCTAATTAATAAAAGAAAATAGTAGACATGTCATATGTACCAAAGTTATAATCTACGATTTATTCCATTCACCAAAATTTTACACCCTTAGGGGAGATTTAGATTAACCAGACTAACACAATGACTTATGTACTAGCTAACTATAGGGGATATATATATTAATAGGATTGGGGTGTAATATCCTAAGTATTCAAGACTTCACTTCTGTAGAAAACCAAGGTGGACAAGAAAATTCTGCTGCATTTATCTGTACGGGATTGAGAAATTTTACAAATTAATATCAACCAATATGCAAACAGTAAAACATGTGGAATAATCTGCAAAACGTGTGTTACTTACTTTTCTGTACAATGCTGGAAGATCTGTCTCAGAAAAGGGTAAAAATCCAGCCATTACAACGAAAAGAATAACACGGCATGACCAAATATCTGCTGCTGAACCATCGTAACCTTGGCCACTAAGTACCTCAAGAGTTATACATAGTTCGGAGTTCCACATGTGGTGCCCAGAATTTCTACTCCCTGATTCAGTATATAACAAAAAGAAATGAAAGAGATAGAAGAGAGAAACTCTACACAGATAAAAAAAGAATTCAAATGAACAAGAGTCTTTTTTTTGTTTGTCAACAGCCTAAACACCTAGAACGGTTCGACAACTCAAACCGGAGGTACTGAGTTTACGTACATAACATCGATAGGATAGACACAACCACTTCTTGCTAAATTGTCTGCCATTGTATTTCTTGCGCGTGGGATATGTGAAAGTGTGAACTAGTTGAAGCTCTCTTTAATCTTCACAAACTCCTCTGTGTATATAGCAAATGCTGGCTAATCGTCGGGTGTAGACACCATCTTCACCAAATCCAAACAGTCCTTTAATGTGATCTATGGGTTCCCTTGACTTTCTTTAACCTTGGACTTTTTGATTCTCTGAACTTCTAGCACATACGCTACTTCTCATCAAAAATACTTTACATTTGATCAGCTTCATACCTTTGAAATGAAATCCTTCTTCTCAAACCTTTCATTTGCAGGTTTGCTTGATTTTGATGCTGGTTTGTCTCCTCCATTTCTCTGATGGTTGAGAACGTCCAGCAACTCCCGCAGCTTCCTTGTTCTGACTCTTGCCGCCATCACATTTCCATCTCCACATCATCCTTGGCTGTCTCTGCAGCCTTTTTCAGCTTCCTTTCTCTTAGGTAAGCTTATTTTCCTTCTTTCTTGGTGTCCTCTTTCAACACCAATTTGTTTCTTCTGATTCTTAGAACCATCTCCTTCAGCTTTAGCTTTGGACTTTTTGACTCTTAAACCATCAGCTCAGCTTCTCTTACTGTAGTCCGTTTGGCTCTTCCTTGAGTCATCACCTTAGCCTTTTTAGCCTTAGTAGTTTGGCTCCTTGAATCTGAACCTTAGTGGCTTGTTTGGTTTCTAGAATCATTAACCTCAGCCTTTCTGATTTGGTTTGTTTGATTCCTTTTACCACCACTTTGGTTTTTCTCTAACCTCTGCTTCTCTTTCTTTTTGTTCTTCTCTGCCTTACACATCTCTCTCTTGTGCAGGCTTCTTCTTCTTCTATCTTCATCGTCATTGTCATCATCACCATCATCATCACCTTCTTCATCTTTGCTGCCATCTTCATCTCCATCTCTGCTTTCTCTGCAGGTTTCTTCTTTTCACCTCACTCAGCAACCACTTCCATCTTCTCTCCATTACAGCTACAAGGTCTTCAATGTTGGAAGGTTCTCCATCTCCTTCTCTGTTTTCTTCTTCTTTTCTTCAACATTCTCACGGCTGAGAAGTACTCTCTCATGGACCCTTTCTTCCTTGAACAGGCTCCAAGGATAACTACAGCTCTGATACCATGTTGACATTCTCACATTCTCTCTTTCTCTCATTCATTCAGGTTTCGCCTTTTTCTCTCTTTCTCTCTTTTTGTCTGTTTCTCTTTTCTCTCTCACACTCTCATTCTCTCTAGTTCTTGCTCTGTTTCACTCTTTGTTGTTGTTTGGTTTTTCAAATGGAAACATGAAGAAACTTAGAGAGAAAAACTTTAAGAACTACATTTCTATAAATGGATCAATCGATGCTTTTTCTTACAAACCACATACATACTTATACTACTTTCTACTTGCCACACACACTTGCATCCATGCTTTGGACCATACTTCTAGATCCTAGACTCTCTTACACAAGTCATCTTACACTGCACCAACTCCTAACAACTCATAACAACTCTTACAACTACACTTAGACTCTAACAACTCTTAAACCATTCTAACTCTAACTTCAACTTAGTTACCTTTAACCAAACTAATTATATGATCACTTGGGCCTCAGCAATACACGTAAGCCCACTCTCTTTAATACACCAAAAACACACAAAGCCCAACTTTCTTCTTTTGTTGACTTTGTTTCCTTGTTGACTCTTCCTTGAATCCTTCTTCTTCCATACAAAACTTCTTCTTCTTCTTCCTTCGCTGCTTCTGCTCTTCTTCATTCTTCTCATAATTTCTTCTTTCTGTATTGTAGGATTTAATCAAGGATCAACCTTCAACACCCTTGCATTGACAATGAGCAATAGCATCGACAAGCTGTTGAAAGTATTTGCGAGCCTCACTTCATATAAGTATGCCATGCTGACAGATTAGTAAATTCCAGTGCCAAAACAACTATTTTATATTTGTTTCATTTTGTTATAATTTTTATTTTATCAGAAAAAACTATATATCCGTCATTGTATATGATAAAAAAAAAATTATTTTAGACTTTTTTTTTGGTCGTCAATATTTTAGACTTTGAAACTGGTAATTTGAATTTATATAACTATGTATTAGAATTAAATGTGTCGTTTAGTAATTTTTTTGTAATTTGTAACTAGATTCTAACCCCGTGCGTCCGCACAGAAATTTTTCATTTTTTAATTTCTAATATAATTTTTTTTAATAAAATTTATTTTTATTATTTATTATTTTTTTAATTCAAGAATTTTGTTATCATGTTTTAACTTTGAATAGTATATATTTATATATTAGTAGAATAAGAATATGAGTTAATTAAGTATATATTGATCTATAATATTAATTATGAACTTTATTATTATATAAATTTAGATTTACACATAAACAATATATACATCTATGAATTAGCTAACCCGTCTATTTAGTTATCTCAAATCATTTTTTAATATCTTACATATTTTGATAAACTAACCCGTATAAAATTGCTATTATAAATGTATAACTTTAACTTGCTCTATCATATTATTGTAAAATATAAATATTTACTAATATTAAATATTTGATGCTTTAGACGGATTGATTATGATAAATAATACAATAAGATATTTGTTTACCATTTGTGCTATTATAAAAATATTATTTAAATTCAAAATTTTAAATTAAATCTAACCTGTATTTAAGGAATTCTAAAGTAATTAAAATTATTATCTAATTTTGTAATAAAATTAATTAATAATTTTTTTGAATTTGAAATCAAATTGAATCTAAATTTTTATAATTAAATTTAATTAATAAAAATTTTGAATAATTTAAAATTTAAATTAAATATAACCTATCTTTAAGGAAATCTAACAATATCTAAATTAGTAACCAATTTTCGAAATTAATTATAATATAAAATAAAAAGTTATAAATAAAACTTAGGTGTGTTTGGAAACAGGTACTAAAAGTGCTTCTGTTTTAATAGAATAAAAAACTTCGAAACTGATTTATACTCTATCCATAAATCTGATAACATTATCTCTAAATAAACAAAGATTCCATTAATACAAATTAATTTAATGTAAGATAAAACTGAATCAAGTTAATGAAATTAATTAATAGAACGGCTTAAGTTTAGACTTCAAAAAACTCATTGCCTTTCAAAGGCTCTGAATATAAGCAGTGTCACTAACAATAGGAATCTGAGGATACCGTCCAGCCATTGCGCACCGTAAGCATTCAAGAAGCACACACATGTAATTAATCCCCACCACCATATGATGATACATAGCTAACCTTCCATTACAGTTTATCAACGGGAATAGTTCACTCGTGTGCCAAATGATCTGCATCGCCGAATCAAGAAGCACTCCCATAATCATATGAAACCTAAAGTACTGAGGCAAGTTTCTGTTCTTCATCCACGCGAACACTAAGATGCAATACGCCATGAAGAAATTGTGTTGCAACTTGCTTGCTGCTCCTGGTATCAAGTTTGTCATCGTTTCCCTGACGGTGCCACCGTGTTGTTCAAGAAAAGGTTGCATGAAGAAACCAATTTCAGACATTTTGAGGGATATCAAATAAGGTACACAAGACATGATCATCCAAAACCATTCAGGTCTCTCTTCGGTTTCACGCAATCTGACGGTTCTTGAAAAGTTGTCATCTTTTTATGCTCTCACAGTCGCAGGCTTTGCTATTAGTCTCCGGTTTCTTCTTGAATCAGAAGCCAATGGTGGCAAACCGAAGAGCAGGTTGGATGATGCTGCAAAGCCCACAGACGCATTTGCTATACAGATTTTGGAAATTAATTAGTGTTCAGTGTCAAGAACTATCATCTTGTTATATAAAACAAGCTTCAATATTTTGATAACATAATGTATGTAATAATACGTACCTAATATAGGAACAATCTGTCTTCGTGAACTCGAGCTTACGGACAATCTTAACTTTGGGAATGAATTAAAGTTGGATAAATACACTCTTGTTGGTTTCACATATTTCCTTAGATCTGGACTCTGGATCCTGTTTCTATAAATTTTGAACCACAAACACACATCAGTCTATATATGAAACCATCAGGACAAAAAAAATTCTCATCGGAATCGGAGAAGGAAACGCAGTAAACGCAGCGAGATCAAAAAGGAAATAAAATATGAAATAATGAATTAATATCTCAAAGCCAAACAAAAAAAACCTGAAAGCTGCTAGATTGGTAAGAGAGCTACAGTCGGTGGTGATCCATGCCAAACCTTGCATAGTTTTGTTGGAATTGTGATTAAAAGCAGAAAAACCAAAACTTGCTCTCAGAAGAATAAAGAAAAGAATGACTCAATGAAAAATTCTGTAAGCTCATATATTGATCGGATTAGTTTTGCTCTCTTGTGAGCATACATATTTATAATAAAAACTTTAACATTATTGCTTAGAGGAAATTAACTATTCTAAATAGGAAAAACTAATTAATTTTCTATTTTAATACTAAACCTGCCTTTTCCTTTTCATAGGTCGTTTGCATGGCACATGATGTCACACTAATCTATTACATTTTGACCGATAAAATTGATACAACAATTAAAAAAAAATTACAAACAGCCAAGCATGCATTTTAGAACGCAGAGATTACGTCAAAAAAAAAAAAGAACGCAGAGATTCTTTCAAACTTTTATTTACATAACTAATTGGAAACAGACTTGACAGCTTGAAGCATTTCCACTATCAATGTCTTCACATCCCTGCAAACACTACCAGCGTTAAAGAGTTTCTCAATTAGTTTCGGATCACTCTGATTGTAAGAGAATCAGTATTTTTAATTCTAGACAGAAACCATGCATGAACAAATTGTAAAACAGAGCATCTAGATTACTTTCTGTCTTATGCGGTCTTTGGAAACGGAATTCGGACCTTGAAGGTATTCCCCTGAGGAGTAGTAGCCTGCAACGAAGAGGAGTATATTGAAAAGGGTTTTGATGTTTAGAAAAACACACCTTAACATTGAAACCAAGGCTGTCCAAGCATCAAGGCTCTCTCTTTAAGGACGTTTACTCATTCTACAGTTTAATTGTGATTTTTGCGAATATATCAGTGTGCTCAAAGACAAACAGTGGTACTCTTCTTTGCTGAATTCTGAAAATGAAGATTTCAAAGCAAAAGCAAATTAAAAATTAGTCAGATAACAGAAACATAGGCTGTATAGTCTGGTGCAATAACATCATATCAGAGAATACATAGGTTGTTCACAATCGCAACTAACTCATTTAGAAAGAAACAACAAGCTCATATTTTCTAACTCTAAATCAGCCTGAAATATATTGACCCAAAAACCCATTAACAATTTTCAATAAAAGACCCAATGAGAACAATGTGAGGATAACAAATCTGAATCCCTCAACGTATTTGATTTTTGGGGTTTGAATATAGCCTAACAACAATTACAACAAATTGTCAAAACCAGATTTTTATGTTTCTTGTTCTAAGATATGTTTCAGGTTTTTTTTTCTCATACATATCTTTGCACAAGTGAAAAGAAGCTTTCGCCTTAGATCATTGATCCATGAAATTATTTGTCCTCCATGTCAACTAATCCGGAAAACTAAAACTAAACCCAGAAGATGGAATCGATTAAACATGGACTTTAAAGCTCGATTTTTGAGAGACAAATAGGTAGAAGAATGTTGGTGTTGGATTTAGCATAAATCCGGCCCATACTTCGGATAAGTCATCACATAAGCTTTTCTGGGCTTTAAGGCCCATAAACGCAGGAAAGAAGGATCTTGGAAGGATATTCGGTAGAACGTAACGAGCTACGAGAATAAAGAAGAGTGGATAAGTGAAGATCCTGAAGATCTTGGAGAGCTCGAAATCGTAACACCCCGCAAATCCCGCAGTAGTTAGCATCAGTCTACTTAGTATAAATAGTACATCGTTTCCATGTACAAGATCATCCAATTTTTAGCTAGAAACAGTCTTGTAAACTTATAATCTCATCAATACAATCTAATTCGTCGATCTTAGTCTTTACATCGCTCTTATCAGAATTCTTGCCCTAATTCTTCTTCCACTAAACCAAACACTAAACTCTTGAGTATGGATTTTAGGATCTACATTTTGGCGCCGTCTGTGGGGAAGAAACAACGAAATTTTTACACCTGAGACCGATCTCGAAGACAAATGAGAACGAAATGGATCCCAAAAACACTGAGACATCCGATCCGAAGACAAGCTCTGCCCCCGCGCTAAACCCTAGCATGTCGGCTCTCCGATCTGGAAATGCCGAAATCACTAGAGCGCAGAGCTCATCCGGCCAGAAGCAAACAGGTGAATCGAGCGTCGTAAATCCGACACCCAGCTCGACTCACACTGCGACCACAAGCGTGACACATACTGTCGGAATAACCGCGGTGTCTCGCTCGATCCCAGACCACCACCGCTACACACGTACTCGCGGACCTGGACGAGATCTGGAATTTCACAGGTCGGATCCACCAGTTTGGACCAAACCGAACCCACCTGGACTGGACCATCCCAAACGGTAACCGGCGACGACCTGGTAGAATTTCGAAGGATGTTAGCCTTCCTAGCCGAGCAAGCCCGCGAACAACGAGCTATCCTCGCGTGAAATGAAAAGGAAATAGCCAACATCCGAAAAGAGCGGGCACAGCCAGCTCCAACTGACGATGAGGACCCGGATGATCTATCCGAAGAGGAAGATCTGAATCCGACGCCAAGTCCGCTCCCAACAACTCGCTTGGAGTTCAAACATCTCACGCGTGACGATCCGTCCACGCAGTTCGTTACTCCACCGCGGAACAACAATGCTCCTTTGTTTAGCAAGGTGGTCAACCATCTGCCAGTGTTTGGATCCGGACAAGCGGAGCGCGAAACTCCGGCAGTTGACGATCGCCAAGATCCGCTGTTAACACCCCAGCTCTTCCGCGGATCACAAGGCCGTAGTACGAACCGCGCTAACCCGCCAACCGACAGGCGATCTAACGAAGAACGGACTGCTGACAACACTTTCCAAACCAGAAGTCAGCAACAAGGAAACGCGCACAATAAGAAGTGCGCGGAGGACCCTCCAAAGATCATAGATCCGCGATCTATAAACAACTTCGATGCGCTCCAGCGATACATCAAAGCAAACAACGCCGAGCTGAAACATATGTACGCCGCAGTACATAAAGCAACGAGTGCGGCTCCTGATATAGATCGCGTGCTGGACGAAACTAGAAGGACCCCCTTCACCGATCGCATAGCTAATGCTAAGATCAAGAACACTGGGAAAATGCGATTCCCAGAATATAATAGAACAGCAGATCCCTAAGCTCACCTCAGAGATTTTAGGCTCTCCGTAGCCCAAGCTCATCTCAATGATGAGGAAAAAGAAGCAGGCTATTGCCGGCTCTTCGCCAAAAATTTAGTCGGATCCGCCCTAGAATGGTTCGCCGGACTAGAAGAAGGATCCATAGATAATTTCCAACAGCTCGGCTCGGCCTTTCTTAAACACTATTCGGTGTTTATAACCTCCAAGGCCACGGAAGCCGACCTGTGGACATGCAGACAGAACCACCAGGAACCCCTGCGGGCTTACTTGGCTAGGTTCAAGGAAATTAAGTCCAGAATTTCCGACTTGAACGAGGGAGTAGCACTCTCCGCGCTCAAACAAGGGCTATGGTTCGACTCACCCTTCAGACAAGAACTATCAGTTCGTTGTCCAGAAACAATAGACGACGCGCTCCATAGAGCCGTGAGCTTCGCCCAATACGAGGAGGAACAGAATACCCTCTGAGAACAGTATGAGGCAGGCTTGTTAGTGTCTAATCCCGCCACTGCCAAAAAGAACGCCAAAAAAGAGCCCCGCGGCAAAGGGATACACGCTTTCGCAATAGGAAGTTCGTCTAAAAAAGAGTCGAAAAAAGAGAAAATATCGATCTATGATGCGAGCAAATTCTCCACCCATCAAAACAAAAAAGGACATTCCACAGAAGAATGCCGCACAGTCTTAGCCGAAAAGGCTAAACTCGCCGCGAAGGCCGCAGAACAAGAGGGGGAGCCCACAGAAAAAAACGAAGAGCCGGAAAACTCAAAAACTTTAAACAAGAAAAGAGATCGAGCTCCCGCAGATGAAAATGCGAGCTCTCCCCCTCCAGGCCCTAAAAAGAGAATAGACCTCATATTTAGGGGAATAACTCGGTGCGGAGGATCTATGAAATCTGTGATCTCACCTCCGCCCGCCCCTAAAAAGGATGCCAAGCTACAAACCCGCAATCCGCTTCTGGAAGCTCGTAAGCCCGCAAAACCGGAATTTCCCAAATTCCAGGGAGTTCTGGAGCTCTTCGAGCGACCTAGACCTAAATGTATAAATTTTATATCTGGAGGCTCCAAATATTACCGAAATTCGGTGAACTCAATAAAATCCTACCAAAGAAGGGTGGAGACCGATATGTGGGAGCGCGCTCCCCTACAGGGTCCCAACCACAAAGTAGTTTTCCTGGAAAGCGAAACACTCGATTTAGACAAACCACACGACGACGCTCTAGTAGTTCGTCTCGACGTTGGGGGTGCGAGCTATCCAGGATAATGATCGACATCGGGAGCTCGGTCGACGTGTTATTTTATAACACATACAAACAAATGGGCTTTAGCGACGACACACTCTGCAGCACCCGATCGCCGCTAACTGGCTTCGCAGGCGAAACCAAGTTTCGATGGGCACCATCACACTCCCGGTAGTAGCCGGCGGGGTCCAACAACTGACAGTCTTTGAAGTTGTAGATCGCTCCGCCCCCTACAATGCCATACTAGGAAAGCCATGGCTCTATAACATGAGAGAAGTGCCCTCCACGTATCATCAATGCGTGAAGTTCCCAACCACTGAAGGAGTTAAGACAGTCCGCGGGAGCCAACGGGCTTCCAGAATGTGTTATATGACCAGACACAAGCTGATCGAACAATCTCCTTTGTAGCAACTACAGAAACAAGAAGAGCTCGCCGACCAGCGAGCAAAACGGGGAAATGACCCCACGACTCGCAGTCCACGCAAGGATCTCGTCGTCCCAATCTGTATTGACGAAAAACACTCCGACGGAGTAGTCACATCGGATCAGAACTCTCGAGTTCTGTCCGCGACGAGCTCATAAAATTCCTCAAAGAGAATATCGCAACCTTTGCATGGTCCACAGAGGACGTGCCCGGGATTGACTTGCAGATAACTTCCCACGAACTAAACGTCAACCCGACGTTCAAACCTGTCAAACAAAAACGCCGCAAGCTTGGTCCAGACCGAGCCAAAACAGTGAATGACGAGGTAGACCGACTACTCAAAGTCGGGTCAATCAGGGAAGTTAAATACCCGGACTGGCTAGCCAATCCGGTCTTTGTTAAAAAGAAAAACGAGAAGTGGAGAGTCTGTGTAGACTTCACCGACCTAAACAAAGCATGCCCGAAGGACAGCTTCCCACTCCCTCACATAGATCGACTGGTAGAAGCTACAGCTGGACTCGAACTATTGTCATTCATGGGTTCCTTCTCAGGGTACAATCAAATACTCATGAACCCTGAAGACCAAGAAAAGACCGCGTTCATAACAGACCGCAGCACATACTGTTACAAAGTAATGCCGTTTGGTCCAAAGAACGCGGGAGCTACTTACCAGCGCCTAGTCAATAAAATGTTTGCTAAACAGCTTGACAAGACCATGGAGGTCTACATTGACGACATGCTCGTCAAATCTTCAAAAGAAGAAGACCATGTTGCACAACTTAAAGAATGCTTTGCAATATTAAATCAGTACGAAATGAAACTCAATCCGACTAAATGCTCGTTCGGAGTACCATCCGGAGAATTCCTTGGGTACATAGTAATGGAAAGAGGAATAGAAGCAAATCCTAAACAGATTGCAACCTTTCTCAAAATGCCGTCCCCCAAAACTACGAGGGAAGTTCAAAGGTTAACAGGGCGAATAGCAGCCCTTAACCGTTTCATATCGAGATCGACTGACAAGTGTTTACCCTTTTACCAACTCTTAAAAGGAAACAAAAAATTCCAATGGAACGATGAGTGCGAAACGGCGTTCAAACAGCTCAAGGCATACTTGAGCGAACCGCCCATACTAGCCAAACCAGTCGAAAGAGAACCTTTGTATCTCTACATAGCTGTATCTCCCGCCGCAGTAAGCGGTGTACTTGTTCGCGAAGAACAAAACGAACAGAAACCAATCTACTATGTAAGCAAAACACTAGTAGACGCCGAAACTAGGTATCCAGCTATGGAAAATCTAGCCCTAGCGGTCATAATGTCTGCCAAAAAGTTGCGACCATACTTTCAATCACACTCCATAATAGTAATGACCTCCCAACCCCTTCGAACTATATTGCACAGTCCGAGCCAATCCGGAAGGCTCGCGAAGTGGGCTATCGAACTGAGCGAGTATGATATAGAATACAAAATCCGGACCTGTGCAAAGGTCCAAGTCTTAGCGGACTTTGTTATTGAGCTCACCCCAGACTCCGACGATGCAACATCATCCAGTCAAAAGTGGACGCTCCACGTCGATGGTGCGTCATCAAAACACGACTCTGGAGTCGAAATCAAACTTGTTTCCCCAAAAAACGAAGTCCTCGAACAGTTTTTCCGACTAGGATTCCAGGCTTCCAACAATGAGGCCGAATACAAAGTCCTCATAGCCGGTCTCAGGCTAGCTCTCGGGATAGGAGCCCGAGAAATAAGCGCATTCAGTGACTCACAGCTCGTAACCAGCCAATTTCACGGCGACTACGTAGCAAAAGACGAACGAATGGAAGCATACTTGAACGTCGTTCGCCAAATAGCAAATCAGTTTAGCTCATTCGAGCTAACCAGAATTCTCTGGGGGAGAATACCTCCGCCGATGTCCTGGCAGCCCTAGCATCCACCTCTGATCCAATGGTCAAAAGGGTGATTCCTGTGGAAGGAATCGAGAAACCAAGCATTGATTTAGCCCCCAAGGCAGTCAACACGGTAACCTCCTCCGACGAGGCCGGGCCATCCAACAGACCCGGACCAGAGGTTACGACCAGTCAGCCCGGTCAATGGTTTACCCAACTCCAAAAACCAATCTGCCCATCCGGAGTCCGAAGACGAACTGGAGGATTGCGAATAATTCCTAGATAGACCAGACTGGAGGACCCCGATCATGGAGTACATCTAGAACGGTATAGCTCCCACCGACAAATGGGCAGCAAGAAAGCCAAAAGCTCAAAGTGCCCGATATTGCATAATGGAAGGTAAACTATACAAGCGTAGCTTAATAGAACCCTATCTTCTGTGCGTACACGGTATCGAAGCCTTGACAATTATGGCCGAAATTCACGAAGGAATGTGCGGAAGCCACTCCGGAGGACGAGCTATGACAGTCCGCATCAAAAGACAAGGTTATTTTTGGCCTACCATAATCGCAGACTGCGAAAACTATGCCACGAGGTGCGACAAATGTCAAAAACACGCACCGATGATCCATCAACCAGCTGAAAAGCTATCCTCGATATCCGCGCCCTACCCATTCATGAGATGGTCAATGGATGTAGTAGGACCACTAGTGGTCTCAGGACGCGCCAGAGTCCGTTTCCTACTCGTCCTAACCGACTATTTCACCAAATGAATAGAGGCCAGAGCTTACCAACAGATCACCGGGAAGGAAGTCAAAATTTTGTCTGGAAAAACATTGTCTGCAGACACGGCCTTCCCTACGAGATCGTAACGGACAACAGAACGAACTTGACATCGAGAAAGTTCGCAAGGTTCTGTAACACTTGGAAAATCAAGATTACATCTTCCACACCCCGATACCCACAAGGGAACGGACAGGCAGAAGCCACTAATAAAACAGTCCTAAACAACCTCAAGAAGAGGTTGGATTCAAAGAAATCTCGGTGGAGCGACGAGCTCCCCGGAGTACTTTGGGTGTGTAGGACGACGCCCCATCGAGCTACGGGAGAAACACCCTTCTCTCTAGCCTACGGCATGGAGGCTGTTATCCCGGCTGAAGCATCGGTACCAAGCATCCATCGGACCTTTTGTCCAGACAACGGAGAACTCAATGAAGAAATGCTAAGAGATCAGCTAGATATGATCGAGGAAAAACGAGATCGAGCCCTAGTCCGCATCCAGAATTATCAGCAGGCCGCAGCTCGCTATTACAATTCCGGAGTCAAACACCGGATCTTCGGTATAAGCGACCTCGTGCTACGTAAGGTATTCGACAACACTAAGGAGCGAGGCGCCGGCAAGCTAAGCACAAACTGGGAAGGCCCGTATAGAGTCACCGAAGTAGTGCGTAGCGGCGTATACAAGCTCGCAAACAACAAAACTGGAGTGCCACAGGCAAGACCATGGAACGTCATAAACCTCAAACGTTACCATCTCTGAGCATTGATAATAATCGAACTACGTTCAGGCTTGATCCCTTGACGGGGTACGTAGGCAGCTCGACACTGAGTCCAGCCACTATCTCTACATACTCAAACACTTTGTAAAAACGTATGTAGTCAAAATTTTGCGAATAAAAACCCTTATTCTGAAACATCTTCACTTTTGATCTCTTCAAACGATCTCACAGCTCGAGGCTCATAGCCCGCTAAGTGCCGATTGCGCCGAACAATCTTAGCTTAGTTCGCTGCGAATTTAGGTAGCTTCCAAACGACCTCCCAAAACGGTCTCATAACTTATAGATCGCGGTTTGCTAACAAACATTAAACAAAATTACAGCAACTCTGTTATTCGCAGTAAGTTATCAATAAACGATCTATTCAAACGATCATCAAGCTCGTAGCTCGCTGAGTAACTTAGCGCTTACAAAATAAAGTTACTATCACAGTTCGCTACTCGCTACATAATACTATGACGCGGTCTCCACAAACGATCACATAGTTATTACTTCGGCACTATCCAACGAAAAAGTCTTCCCAAACCTTTTTCTAAAAAAGTCTTAAAGGACAAATCAAGCAAACTGATAACTCAGACGAAATCAGAAAGTAAAAACAAATTCAAAAGCATATGCAAAGTCAGCCCCCTCCAGGCAAAACAACTAAGTACGGATTAAAACCCTCCCGGGTAACAAAGTACTGAAAGCGCGAAGAAACAAAATGAAAAGCCTTATAGGCAATTAAGTTCATGAGAACATATAAAGAGCGGAGGGGCTAAAAGAAAAAGGAGGATTACTCCTTAGGCTCATTCTCGCGACCATCTTTCTCCATCAGGACCGCCGAGTCATCCACCAGCTCGTCTCCACCTCCAGCAGCGGTGTTACTCCCAAACTGATCGAGCCCGAGCGGAACTTGCGTCCTCGGATCAATCTCCATCGGCCTCACCGATGCCTCCGAGATCTGCGAGAGATCGAGCTTGGCAAGAGAAAAATCGGACACTTCCGCGTCAGCATGTTTCTGAGCAAGCTCAGGAATCTTCTCTACGAGGCGAGCTTTTTCTTCCAGAGCCGTGATAGCTCCACTGATCAGATCCTTGATAGATCCAAGTTGGATTCCACCTCTTGGAGCTCGGCCTCACACGCAGCTTCGACCTTCTTCTGCTCCCATTTGTCTTTGAGCGAGTGGAAGATGGCCAGATACTTCTCAGCGAACTCCTGCTTCGCCTCCCGAACAGCCCGCCTGACCCTCGCATCAACCTCCTCCTTAAGTTCACGCACCTGCTCAGTCAGATCGTCAGCGCGTCGGCTCGCAGAATCCGCCACCGTCTTTGCAGACCGAAGCTGGGCCTCCAGACGCTTCTCCTTGTCCTCCGCGTTCTTGACCTTCGATGAAAGATCGAACACGGTCTTCTTCACCTCCTCGAGCTCGTCGGAGGTGGGCATGGTCAGACTTGTCCTCAAGTATAGAAGAGTACTCGTTGACAGCCTCGAGAGCCTGACCAAAAGAACGCCCTTTAGTATATCCTTAAAAAAAAAAAAACAAGTAAAAACACATACCCGTCCATGAGCAGCCATCATTTTCACATAGGCAGCACGCTCCGCCATGTCCCGAACTGGAGGGAGCACGCAACCCAGAGGCTTGAAATGCCGAAAGATGAAGGTTACTCCCTCCGGGTCATCAGCGATGGGGCACCCTTTAGTATGGTTGAAAGTCCAACCATACGGGATCGTTCCCCCCGACCCATTCGAGGAATTCGACCTCCTATCTGGAGCCGGATCTTCCACCCTTTGCTTCTTCGGACGCAAAGTTCTCTCAGAATCTCGGGAACTGAGCGAGATAGCTTTGGACGACGGGTCGGCGGGAAGACCTCCGGTCGGAGTCTCGTAAGCTCTGGAGGCTGGTTCAAGCGCGTCACTCACAGCTCGACGGATCTCACCAGTGCGAACAGGTTCAGAGCTCTCAGCCTGAGCCCTGCTCTTCCTCGCTTTCTCGGCCTCACGAGCTGACGGTCTTCGAGTCATTTTTCCTTGAGATGGCTTGCGGATCAGAGGTTGATGCGAGGTGCTTGAAGAAGTAGCGTTTGGGACTTCCCGACGGCTGGTGCCTGAAAACGAAAAATAATGAACTATGTAATAGCTCGCCAGATCGAATGCGTAGCTCGGGCAAAATAAAACGCTCGAACTAACCAATCGGGATCTGGTGGAAATTAGCTGGACCATTGATAGACGGCGGGTTCAACGGGTCAATCTCGAGATTCGGAGCAACAGCGAGCTGTGGGGTATCTGTTCCAAGCGCGCGACGAATTCTCTCCCTCGTAAAATTGGGCCACGAACAGTCGCCGTTCCGCAGAGTAGCAATAAGCACTTTATCCAAGCCGGTGTTAATCGGAACAACTGTGGAACAAAGAAAAACAAGTAGTCAGCAACGAACTAGTGACATAACTAAGAATTCAAACACCCTAATGCTAACCAACTCTCGGAGCCCAGATGGTGGGCAGCCGACTAAAGTCGAAAGATCTGACAGAGTGCGCGTTAATCCGGAAGAAAAAGTACTTTTCTTTCCAACGATCATCGCGAGCCGGGATGTCTTCGAAAACACTGCGAGTTTTTCGAGGAGACAAATAAAAGGATCCCAGGAAGGAAGAATTGCTCTTGATAGAGCACATCCTGTGGAGTTCCTCGATTCCGAAGGGGATTCTCGATTCGGCTGCCCTAACCAGTAGCGCCAAAGCATGATGAACAAAGTTAGGGTTCATTTGGGGAAATGCCAGTCCCAAATCTGCCAAAATCGTGAGGAGACTCGGTGGAATGGGGAAAGAGAGCCTGCATGCGTCGAAGAACGGAGTGTAGGCGATGCTGTAACCAGTGCGAACCGTCTTTGGCGTCTCTCCCCTATCCGGGACGACGAGCTCGATCGAAGAAGGAATGTCGTGTATTCGTCGGAGACGAGCAAGATCTTGGGGCGAGACAATCGAAACCGTCAGAATATTGGAATGCTCCATCGCTGAATTTCGGTGAAAAGGAGTTTTCTCGGAAGTTTTGAAACGAGGTCGAAATGAAATTTGTTGGATAAAGAAAAAATTTAAAACAAAGGAAGCAGTTAATGGAAACAGGAGGGGAGAAGTTACCTTGAAGCAGAGTGGGGAGCGTGCAGTTATGGTGAAAAGACGTGGGAAGTTGATATTTATAAAGTAGCAATTTTGACTGCTATTTAGATTGACGAAATTCTAGCAAATACCAACTCTGAACCGTTCATCTCTTTCTGCGAACAAGATTTTACCATATCTCAATAAGATTCGAATACATCGAATCAAGGAAAATCTTAGCCCTGATAGTTGAGTAAATCTCGACCCTCTGTTTATGGGAGACTCGATCTGAACCATATGAACAAAATCTCAAGGGAAGAGGGAAAGTCGAAGTATTCCCATATTAATCCGCCCCTTTTAGTTCGCAGCTCACTAAACGGGCTGGGGGAGGGGCAAATGTTGGTGAAATTATTTGTCCTCCATGTAAACTAATCCGGAAAACTAAAACTAAACCCAGAAGATGGAATCGATTAAACATGGACTTTAAAGCTCGATTTTTGAGAGACAAATAGGTAGAAGAATGTCGGTGTTGGATTTAGCATAAATCCGGCTCATACTTCGGATAAGTCATCACACAAGCTTTTCTGGGCTTTAAGGCACATAAACGCAGGAAAGAAGGATCTTGGAATGATATTTGGTAGGATGTGACGAGCTACGAGAATAAGGAAGAGTGGATAAGTGAAGATCCTGAAGATCTCGGAGAGCTCGAGATCGTAACACCCCGCAAATCCCGCAGTAGTTAGCATCGGTCTACTTAGTATAAATAGTACATCATTTCCATGTACAAGATCATCCAATTTTTAGCTAGAAACAGTCTTGTAAACTTATAATCTCATCAATACAATCTAATTCGTCGATCTTAGTCTTTACATCGCTCTTATCAGAATTCTTGCCCTAATTCTTCTTCCACTAAACCAAACACTAAACTCTTGAGTGTGGATTTTAGGATCCACAAAGAAGTTATTACCTTAGCTGAATGAAAATTTTAGTTGGGCGAGGGATTTCAATTTCCCGGCGGAGAAAGAGGCGGCGAAGTTACCGAGGTGGCAGAAATTGGAGCTCAAATTTTTTGGTAATCAAATCGTACATACCATCCTTTTTCCCGTATTCTCTTCTCAGCTTTAACGGAAAATTCCTCTAAATGTACCCTATTAGCGAGATATTAGCAGATATTCTTGTAGATACTATTGTAACCATATTTGGAAATGTTGCCGTATAGTTAGCTGTGTACAATCCCTGGTTTGTAGGGATTTGCATTGATCACCAAACTATGTTTGTAATGTATATAAGAGAGGCTTTCTCTCAAGGAATACATCATCGTTTCCTCCACTTTGGCATGGTATCAGAGCCAAACCTTTTTCACCTATAAACTCTTTTTCTTTGATCTTTCTTAACGCGTGGAAATGGCTGATGAAACGGTGCGTGATCAAGGTGTGGTCGCTTCTGCGTCTACAACTGCGGCGGCGTTGGTGTCACCGTACTACCTGCATCCGTCGGATAATACGGGTCAGGTGCTAACTCCAATTTTATTGAATGGTTCGAATTACGAAAGGTGGGCAAAGCTTATGCTGAACTCACTTCGTACGAAACGGAAGATAGGGTTCGTTGATGGAACTCTGAAAAGGCCGTCTGACAACTCTGACGAAGCAGAGAAGTGGGACATGGTCAACTCCATGATAATTGGCTGGATTTACAGCAGTGTCGAGTCGAAGCTTCGTCCTTCGATCTCTCTGGTGGAAAGTGCGAAAGCTATGTGGGCGAGTCTTCAAAGGCGTTTTTCGGTGAGCGATGACACTCGTCTTCATCAGTTGCACGGCGATATTGCGGCGTGTAAGCAGAATGGTAGCTCGGTGTAAGATTATTTTGGTAAACTCAAAGTTTTATGGGATGACTTGGCTGACCTCGGCAAAGGGTTCCAGTGTTGCTGCAAAAGCAATGATTGCTCGTCAATGGTGATTTTTGAGAAAAGTCGAGAGAAGATCCGAGTTCATCAGTTCCTTATGGGGCTGGACACTTCGAGATTTGGTACGGCTAGATCCAATCTCCTCAGTCGTCAATTGGATCTGAATCTCGAAGCTGTGTACTCGCAGATTGTTCAGGAGGAACGTCATCTTTCAGTGATGCGCAGCAATGAAGAGCGAATTCCAGTTGTTGGGCTCTCGGCGATGACGACACAGGCTGCGGGTGCTCGGTTTACCAAATCCACTGTGACGTGTACTCACTGTGGGAAGACCGGACACGAGTCGACGTCGTGTTTCCAGATTATTGGATTTCCAGAGTGGTACTCTGACAAATCGAAATCTTCAGGTGGAAGAGGGAATGGTCGTGGTCGTGGTATGGACCAAGGCAGAGGACGTGGAGGAAGAGGACCGAATCTTCGAGCACATAATGCTCAAACTGGTGAAGCTCAAGCAGCAGTGATTCTTTACCTTGAGGCATTCCGACTTTCACATCTGAGCAATGGGCGTCTTTGGCGAATCTCTTGAACAATCAGAAACAGAGTGGTTCAGAGAAGCTTTCGGGTAAGACAGAAAAACTCTATTTTTTTGGTCCAAACAGTCGTTATGACGTTATTATCGATTCTGGAGCGTCAAGTCATATGACTGGGGATATTAATTTGTTGACCGATTTAACGTCGATCGATCCTTGTCCGATTACGTTGCCTAATGGCGAACTCACATGGGCAACTCGTTATGGACGTTTGAATTTTGGCGGCAGCTTGTTTTGGATCGTGTCTTTTATGCACCTCATTTGACCATTACTCTGATTAGTGTTGCTCAGTTGTTGAATGATATTGCTGGATTTTTGCTGTTTACAAGGAAGTTTTGTCTGATACAGGACCTCAATTCGAGGACTTTGATTGGTGCGGGTAAAGAGCAGGACGGTGTGTATCATCTCAAAAGCGTTGTCGCAGCTAATTCGGGACGTATGAACACGAGGGAGTTGTGGCATCGTCGCTTGGGACATCCTTCATCAGCAGTGCTTTCAGTTTTATCTCATATTGGTTGTTTTTCTAGTAGTTCAGCGAGTTCTGAAAATGTTTGTGACATCTGTGTACGAGCTAAGCAGACTCGGAATAAGTTTTCAGATTCTATTAATAAAGCTGCTGATTCTTTTGATATGATTCACTGCGACCTTTGGGGCCCTTATCGCGAACAATCTCTTACTGGAGCTCGTTATTTTTTGACAATAGTCGATGATTACTCTCGAGCGGTATGGACGATATTATTGCTTGAATAGAAAGAAGCACCAGGAGCTTTAAAGATGTTCATCTCATTTGTTGAACGACAATTTGAAAAACGTATTCGGACAGTACGTAGCGATAATGGTTCCGAGTTTATCTGTCTCAAGCAGTTCTTTGCGGAAAATGGGATTTCTCATCAGACATCTTGTGTAGAAACCCCTCAGCAGAACGGACGCGTCGAGCGTAAACACCGGCATATCTTGAATGTAGCTCGTGCTCTGCTGTTTCAGGCTAATCTTCCTATTCGTTTTTGGGGAGAAAGCGTCCTCACTGCCACATATCTGATTAACCGCACACCGTCGAAGCTCTTAGACAACAAAACCCCATATGAAATGCTGTTTCATCGGGCTCCTTTCTATGATTATTTGCGTACGTTCGGTAGTCTCTGCTATTCCCGTCGTCTCTCTCGTGACAAAGACAAGTTTACAGATCGGAGCATTCGCTGTTTGTTTGTTGGGTATCCACAAGGGAAGAAAGGTTGGGCACTGTTTGATCTCGAGACAGAAATGACGTTTGATTCTCGCGATGTTGTATTTCACGAGAATGTCTTCCCTTTTGCGACTTCATCTGAAAATTCTGAGGCTGTCGGTTCTGCTCCTTTGCCTCCGATTCATCCAGCTGTTTTCGATGATGAGCCTCAAGGAGTCTCTTCGTCAGGGGGAGTTACCATTGCAGACCTTGACGCAGAGGTGGTGGAGGATGCCATTTCGTCTCCTCCTCTAGCTAATGTTGATTCCGCTGTACCCCAGAATGCTACATCGTCTTCGCCTGCTTCCGATTCAGCTCAAGCAGAGGAACTTGGCCGTGGCAAAAGGACCAAGATTCAGTCTATCTTACTTAAACCATATCAAGTTTACGCCGCAACAGTGGGAGACAGTGTTATTCACGACTCAAAGGACTCTCCTAAACAGGGGTCCGAGGCCTGTCTCTATCCTTTGACTGATTTTGTTTCTTGTCATAGGCTCTCTCCTGCGCAGCGAGCATACTCGGCCGCAATTGCTTCAGTTCAGGAGCCAAAATCTTACAAAGAAGCTTTCAAACATAAAGTGTGGCGAGAGGCTGTAAATGGTGAAGTTGGTGCTCTTGAAGACACTAATACATGGACTGTGATGACATTGCCGACTGGAAAGCATGCCATTGGGTGCCAATGGGTCTTCAAAATAAAGTTTAATTCCGACGGCACCATTGAGAGATATAAAGCTAGGTTGGTTGCTCTTGGTAATCGCCAGCAAGAAGGAATTGATTACAAAGAGACGTTTGCTCCAGTGGTGAAAATGACAACAGTTCGTATTTTACTTGGTGTGTCTGCAGCGAAAGGTTGGGAGCTATTCCAAATGGACGTACACAATGCATTTCTCCATGGTGACTTAGAGGAAGAGGTTTACATGCAGTTACCTCCGGGTTTTACTTCTTCCAAACCGAATCAAGTCTGTAAGCTCAACAAATCGTTGTATGGCTTACGACAGGCTCCACGGTGTTGGTTTTCGAAGCTTTCTACAGCTCTTTTGGAATTCGGATTTCACCAAAATAAGTCGGATAACTCATTATTTACATTGACTCGTGGGACTTCCATCATCTACGTGTTAGTCTACGTCGACGATCTTATCATCGGGGGTAATGATTCGGTGCTTATTCAGAGTTTCAAAGACTACTTACATCGCTGTTTTCACATGAAGGATTTGGGTATGTTGAAATATTTTCTGGGCATCGAGGTATCTCGAGGAAAAGATGGGATTTACTTGTCTCAACGCAAGTACGCGTTAGACATTGTTGCGGAGTGTGGTCTCCTTGGTGCGAAACCAGCTGATACTCCCATGGAACAGAATCATAACTTGGCCAAAGCAGATGGTCCTTATTTTGCTGATCCGACGAGGTATAGACGGTTAGTGGGCAGGCTCGTTTACTTGTCAGTGACGCGACCAGAACTTAGTTATGCTGTTCACACGCTCGCACAGTTCCTCGCGCATCCGAGACAGAAACATTGGGAAGCTGCTTTGAGGTTGGTTCGATACTTGAAAGGTTCACCAGGGCAGGGAATTTTACTGAGCTCGAAGAATGATCTTCGTCTTTCCGCGCACTGTGACTCTGACTGGGCTGCGTGTCCACTCACTCGCAGGTCACTCTCTGGTTACATTGTGATGCTTGGTAACTCGTTGATTTCTTGGAAGACCAAGAAGCAGAAAACGGTTGCCCGTTCTTCGACAGAGGCTGAGTATCGATCTATGGCACTTGCGTTTTGCGAACTTATATGGACAAAGGCAATTCTTCAAAGTCTCGGGGTTCATCAGTCTGCACCAATGTCTCTGTTTTGCGACAATAAGGCTGCATTAAACATTGCTGCAAATCCTGTATTTCACGAACGCACGAAACACATTGAGGTCGATTGTCATTTTCTACGTGATGGAGTTCAAGATGGGACTCTTGCCCCACATTATATCAAGACTACGGAGCAAATGGCGGACATGCTCACCAAATCACTTGGTTCACGACAGTTTCGATATTTACTTTGCAAGATGGGAGTTCGGGATCTCCACTCGCCATCTTGAAGGGGAGTATTAGCGAGATATTAGCAGATATTCTTGTAGATACTATTGTAACCATATTTGGAAATGTTGCCGTATAGTTAGCTGTGTACAATCCCTGGTTTGTAGGGATTTGCATTGATCACCAAGCTATGTTTGTAATGTATATAAGAGAGGCTTTCTCTCAAGGAATACATCATCGTTTCCTCCACTTTGGCATACCCCATGGTGAACATCTTTTTCAATCTTCTTCCGCCACACAAATCTGAAATTAATAGAAATTCATGCGATGAGAATTGAAGACTCTTCAAAACCACGTTACTCACAAGTATCATCTGACTAAATCGATTGCAGTTGAGAAGAGAAGAAGCAAAAATTTACCTTCTTCTGAGCGTTTTTGCCCTTCTTCTGAGCGACATCTCCTGTATGTCCCTGCTAAAGAGGAAAAATTAGTGATCCTGCAAATGAAATTACATCTATGCAGCTTTAGAATCGAAGCTGGTGTAAAACGACAAGTTACCTGCTGTAGCCGGCTTTGCAACTTTTACCTTAACCACCTTCACAACAAGCGTCTACAGAAGATAGAATACTCATGAGCAAAATAAAGATGAAATAAAAAACAGAACCAAAGGTTACAAATAGAGTACCCGAGTCGGATTATATTAGCGTTCTGAGAGAAAAGATGTAAAACTCAGATATTCTCATTAATGCTTTAAGAGTTTCCTACAAATGATATATACAGGTGATTTCACCTAACCAGGAATAACCGAGTTTACAAATATAATTAACCAATAAAACCGGATAATTCCAGCCCGCCCTTATCCTATGCTATATGTATGTACAAGTATATCGGAGATACGAGGGAAGCCTGCAAGTCTGGTTTTCCACTCGATAATCACCAAAATAGAAACAAAATAATGTTGGTTTTTTCGATTTAAGCTTCCAAAAGAATTGATTAAAGCTGTAAAACGTTGTTTTTTTGTAATATAATTTAACATTAGATTCAAAAAAAAATGTACAAGTATATCAATATGTACAGTTAATAGCCTCCTTCAAGATGGAGGTGCAAAGATGTTGCTGACTCCCATCTTGCCAATAAGTTCACGGGAAGGTGTTGGATGCAGAGCTTTGGTGACTGAATCAGCAGGCTGATTACCAGTCTTAGCATACATTGTCTTCAATAATCCTGCATCAATGGCCTCACGAGTTTTATAACAGTCAAGTTCAACATGTTTTGTGCGTTCATGATAAACTGAGTTGTCAGAAATGTGAAGTGCAGTAGTATTGTCACAGTAAATATAAGCTGGTGGAGAAAAAGGAACCTTCAAATCAACTGAAGTAGCCGTTTAAGTTTGAATGAGTTTGGATCATGTCTTAGTCATGTTTTAGTCGTATTTGAATAAGTCAGAAGCTGACCTGGTTTGTAGGAACAGCTCTGATAAGTTGTTGCATTTGTTTCGGTAGTTAGTTGAGTTGTTTCTAATTCTTATAAAGACTCTTTGTATTGAACGAGTTTAATAATGAGAAAAAACGTTAACTGCAATCTCTTATTCTCTCTGTTTTTCTCTGTTACAAAGTTAATAAGTGGCATCAGAGCTGTTTACTAACCTGAGAGGATGAGTGAAAAGGAAACTATGATCATACCTAAGTTCGATGTAGATTATGAGCATTGGGCAATGCTCATGGAGAACCTGCTTCGATCCAAGGAATGGTGGGCTCTTGTGGAGACAGGGATTCCAAGCCAGGAGAGAGGAACGGTGCTATCAGGTGCTCAAAGAACCGAGCTACAGGAGAGGATAGCAGAAAAAACTGTCACCGATCACAAGGTAAAGAAATACCTCTTTGCGTCGATTGACAAGACAACCCTGAAGACGATTGTCAAGGAGAATACTTCAAAGGACATCTGGGAATCCATGAAAACAAAGTATCAAGGGAACAAAAGGGTTCAGAGTGCTCAATTACAGAGGCTAAGAAGGGATTTTGAGGTATTGGAAATGAAAGAAGGAGACAACATTGGAGATTATTTTTCGAAAGTAATGATGGTGGCAAATGATATGAGGAATCTAGGAGAAAACATGCCAGATGACAAGATTGTGGAAAAGATATTGAGAACCTTGGCTGACAGGTTCACATATGTTATCTGTGCAATTGAAGAATCAAAAGATATCAAACAGCTCTCGGTTGATGAGCTGCAGAGCTCCTTGCTACTTCATGAACAGAACTTGAACAAGAAAGGCGTGGAAGAACAAGCTCTCAAAGCAGCGAGTTATTGACCAGGAGGGAGCCGAGGGAGAGGATACTCGACAGAAAGAGGACGTGGAGGTAGAGGAAGAGGCCGTGGAACGTCAAGCTTCAACAAGGATACTATCGAGTGCTTCAAGTGTCACAAACTTGGACATTTCAAGTACGAATGTCCCATGTGGGAAAAGGGTGAAAACTTTGAAGAAGAAGAAGAAGAAATGGTGCTTATGGCTCACGTCGAAGAAACAAAAGGTGAAGATGAGCATGTCTGGTTCCTGGATTCTGGATGCAGTAACCACATGTGCAGAACCAAAGACTTGTTTCTGGAGCTAGATGAGAGCTTTAGATGCAATGTCAAACTGGGAGATGATCGGAGATTGGTAGTGGAAGGAAGAGGAAGCTTGAGACTCAACATCAATGGGCTGACACAGATCATCACGTCGGTATACTTTGTTCCAGGGCTGAAAAATAATCTCTTCGAGTGTGGGAAAACTGCATGAGAAAGGTCTAAGAATTATCATTGAAGATGACACTTGTGAAGTTTGGCACAAGAAGCAACAGAGGCTGGTAATCCAATCTTCAATGTCGAAGAACAGAATGTTCATATTGCTTGCTGCAATCCGAGGACCAAAGGAAGATGACAAAGAGGGGAAATGTCTACAGGTGACGGAAAACCACAGAAGTGATCTCTGGCATCGAAGACTCGGACACTTGAGCTTTAATGGAATTCAAACCATGGTGGAGGAAGAGATGGTGAATGGTTTGAACTCCAGTATCACTAAGGACTCTATTTTCAAAGTGTGTATGAAGGGGAAACAATGTAGAGAGATGATACCAAGAAAGAGTCTGTGGAGAGCTAGCAAAGGCCTAGAGTTGGTCCACAGTGATATTTGTGGACCAATCACACCAGCTTCTCAGAGTGGGAAGAGGTATCTGATCAACTTTATTGATGATTTCACAAGAAAATGTTGGACATTTTTCTTGACAGTCAAATCCGAAGCTTTCCAAGTCTTTAAGGAGTTCACAGCAGAAGTAGAAAGAGAACTTGGAGAGCCTTTAGTGTGTTTTCAAACTGATAGAGCTGGAGAGTACAACTCCAAGGAGTTTCAAGATTACTGTAAAGAGAAAGGAATCAAATGGCAATTGACTGCAGCTTATACTCCACAGCAGAATGGAGTTGCCGAGATGAAAAACAGGAGCATCATGAACATGACTCGATGTATGCTGATAGTAATGGGGGTGCCAAGAAAGTTTTGGGCTGAGGCAGCCCAATATGCTGTGTATATCCTCAACAGAAGTCCTGCAACTGCTTGGGGAGATGTCACACCGAATGAGAAATGGAGCAAAAAGAAATCTGCAGTTGATCATCTAAGGGTGTTTGGGTGCATAGCCTACGCGATGGTGCCCTATGAGAAAAGGATCAAGCTGGATGAGAAGAGCAAGAAGTGTGTCATGTTTGGAGTAAGCAAAGAGTCCAAAGCTTATTGTCTTTACGATCCAGAAGTTAAGAAGATTGTAATCAGTAGAGATGTAAGGTTTGATGAAGACAAAGGTTGGGATTGGGAAAACAAAGAAGGTGAGGATAAATTCACATGGGAAGGGATGATAAGCGACTCAGATGAAGAAGAAGGTAATAAGATAGCTAGAGGAGAAAATCATCAAGATGAACCCGAGAATCAAGCTGGAGAAGTAGAAGAAACTGCAGAGGTGAATGAAACGGCAGTTCCTCTGGGAAAAAGGGTTTCACAAAGGCCCTTGTGGATGAAAGATTTTCATTGCCCGGTTGTGAAAATGGTAATTGAGAAAAACGAAAATGAGGTGATGGCTCTCTTCATATCCGCAGAAGATCCCAAAAAATATGAATTTGCGGCTCAACATGAAGTCTAGAGGAGAGCAATAGAGGCTGAGATTAAATCAATAGAAGAAAATAAGACTTGGGAGCTGGTTGAACTGCCTGCAGAAGGTGATAGGAGTGAAATGGGTTTTTAAGACAAAGCTGAATGAAAGAGGAGAGATTGACAAGTTCAAGGCCCGTTTGGTGGCTAAGGGGTATCATCAGATGCAGGGTATAGACTTTCATGAAGTCTTTGCTCCAGTGGCAAGATGGGACACTATCAGTACTCTACTCGCAGTGGCGGCTCAAAGGAACTGGGAGGTGTTCCAACTAGATGTAAAGAGTGCGTTTCTGCAGGGTGATCTAAGCGAAGAGGTCTATGTTGAACAGCCCCAAGGATTTCAACTCAGAGGTGCAGAAGACAAGGTGTAAAAGTTGAGAAAGGCTTTGTATGGTCTTAAACAGGCTCTACAGTAGATTGGAAGGATATTTCTTAAGGAATGGGTTCAAAAAGTGTTACTGTGAACACACTTTATTCGTAAAAGGAAGAGAAAAGGAGATCTTGATTGTGAGTGTCTATGTAGATGACTTAATCTATATGGGAAACTCGTGTGTATTGCTCGATGAGTTCAAGAAGTCTATGATGGAGGAATTTGCAATGACAGACCTTGGGAAAATGAAGTACTTTCTGGGAGTGGAAGTATTGCAGGATGAGAAAAGCATCTTTATCAATCAGAGGAAGTATGCAGAGGAGATAATGGTAAAGTTCGGAATGGAAGACTGTAAGTCTGTAAGGAATCCAATGGTGCCAGGAAAAAAGCTGACAAAAGGAGTAACTGGAGCTGTGATGAATTCAACTATGTTCAAACAACTTGTTGGGAGTCTGAGTTATCTCACTGTTACTCGTCCAGACTTGATGTTTTCAGTGAATTTGGTGAGCCGGTACATGGAAGAGCCCAATGAGCAACACGTGAATGCAGCAAAACGGATTCTGAGATATGTTCAAGGAACTAAATCAATTGGAATCAGATACAGAAAGGGAGGTGAAGCAAGGCTGATCGGGTATAGAGATAATGATTACGCAGGTGACACAGATGACAAGAAAAGCACTTCGGGTTATGTGTTTTTGGTGGGAGAAGGTGCAGTATCTTGGGCTTCTAAGAAGCAACCAATAGTTACTTTGTCAACAACTGAAGCTGAGTTTGTGGCAGCAGCTTATGGTGCGTGTCAAGCGGTCTGGCAAAGGAACATTTTGGAAGAAATCGGTCTGATGCAGAGTGAAGGAACAGTGATGTTTTGTGACAACAGTTCGACCATCAAACTCTCTAAGAATCATGTGCTACATGGTAGGAGTAAGCACATTATTATGCGATTTCACTTTCTTAGAGAACTGGTGAATGAAGGGGTGACCAAGCTAGAGTATTGTTCTACTCTAGATCAAGTTGCAGACATCATGACAAAAGCAGTCAAGCTTGAAGTGTTCGAGAAGCTGAGGGAGAAGTTGGGTCTGTGCTTAAAGGAAGATTAAACTGGAAGTGAGACATGTTCTAGTTTAGGGGAAGTTATGAAGTAACCGTTTAAGTTTGAATGAGTTTGGATCGTGTCTTAGTCATGTTTTAGTCGTATTTGAATAAGTCAGAAGCTGATCTGGTTTGTAGGAACAGATCTGATAAGTTGTTGCATTTGTTTCGGTAGTTAGTTGAGTTGTTTCTAAGTCTTATAAAGACTCTTTGTATTGAACAAGTTTAATAATGAAAAAAACGTTCACTGCAATCTCTTATTCTCTCTGTTTTTCTCTGTTACAAAGTTAATATCAACCAGTAACCGAGACAACCAAATCATCTCATTCGTAGCCAACGCCATGGCTCGGAACTCTGCTTCAGCTGTGCTGCACGAGCCAGTGTCATGTTTCTTCGATTTTCAAGACACTAACGAGTCTCTAATGAACATGCAGTAACCAGAGACAGAGCAACGTGTATCAACACAAGAAGCTCAATCAGAATTGGCAAAACCTCTCAGATCAAACTTATTTTCCGCTGGATATAAGGGGAAATCAAATTACGTACAAGGGGAAATCAAATTGTAGTAAGATAAATGAACTCCGTGGTGGCATAATGCTGAATTAGCCTCTGGTGGAAATAATTTGTTTCTGGCATCGAGACCAGGTCCATTAAGGTTCTTAAAGGTTCTTAAGGGGATTTATTAGGAATTATTTGGGTTAAAAAAAAAGCCCAATACCTAAGAATCGATCATTGTAGAAAGAATTTAAGAACCGATCTTTGGGAAGTTTTTAAGCCAGGTGACGGCCTTATATTGGATGTTTGCTAAAAAACCTGAATCACATTCTCTCTCCAGCCAGGTGGCGGTCTTGTATTTGAATAATTTTTTATTCTTAGGAAATCGATAACGGGTTTATCAATAGAGGACTAAAATGCTAAAAAGTTTTTTTGTTTTTTATAAATTAAAAAAAAATATATAATAATCTTGAGAACCCCTCTTTAGGGTTCTCTAATGTAAGGTCCAAGATGATTTATCAGTTGAAGAATGGATGAGAAAGCAGGTAAGTATGCTATATGATCTAAGCTCACGTTTTTAGTTAGATTTGGTATAGTTATTTTGCATGCTTTGTTATGGTTAACTGTCTACTTCAATTAGCGGCTTCTCAAATTCATGTGAAAAACAAAGAAATAAACACAAGATATCATAAATAGACAATCAAACATTATACCTTTTCCTTCTACACTCTTGGCTCACTGGTTTCAGAAATGATATGGAAACAAAGTGAAAATAAGGAACATATTTTCTTTATAAAAAAATTCATGGTGTGAGAAGATTAAATTAGGTCTAAAAAGTTACCTCATCGACACCAAGTTCAAACATCCGAGCATAATCCTCCGCAGCCTCCACCATAATGGCGGGGTTGTTTCTGCACAGACGCACACCTCTTATGCTCCGAAGCTTCCTCCACCTGACTTTTCTAAGAATACAAGAAAAAAGAACAATCGACTGAGAGATTAATGGATAATTTTAAGTAATAAAGAAAATTACCTTCTTGTTTGAGTAATTGCTTGTGGTTGTTATCTTCTTCATCTCAATTCTGTTTTTTTAATTAGCCTTTTTAAGATACGTTTGTCTCGAATCAACACCAAAAATACGACCATATTTTACTATAGTGTTGAAGAATTACGGCTATTGGAA